GTCACCCGCCGTGATATTACTGGAATATTGCCAAAAGCGGCGTAAAACTAAACTCACTCACTCATTATTTTATAAAGCAGGCCAAGTCTTGACATTTAACATATTTACTTTGTCTAGATCATGCACGTTAGAATTTCGGCAAAAAAATACTTTTCAGCTTTCTTCCTACACTTTCTGGCCTGTTTGCATTCATTGTTGAACCATGGCTTACGGATGAGTGGAATTGCAGATTTGGACTTTGGTATAGTTTGGTCAGCGATGTTGTTGAGTATATCTGAAAATAGCTGTATTGGATCTTCGCTGTTTAACAAGGACACTGTCAAATAGCAGCGGATATCCTAGATGCTGACACCAGGGATACACGGATGTTATACTCCAGTGAGTATGACACAAATTGTATAGGTATACCAAATTAAATGCCAAGGTGGTTCTGCCAACGAGAAGAAATTGAACACATACTGAATTTGGAGGTCAACATCACCAGATTGGCTCCAGAGCCATCACCTGCTGATATAGGACTCTAGGCCATTTAAAGGTATCAATAATTGAAACATTACAAACCAAACTTTCCAAGATCCAATCATAATATATTGTGCAAATATAATCAACATGCACAGAGCCTGGCGTGACCAGCCGATTGATAGAATCGGGCCGATTCTACCACCAGTCTAGGTGAAGTAAGGGGCAAAGAAGTAAGGGGCAAAGTGGTGTGTTGGGCAAAAGGAACACGGTTCCAGGCTGCCAATGCCCTCAACCACCAGACTCCCGTCCTCCACCGACACACGGGCGCAACCCACGGCAAACAGGTTGCCCAATTCGGTCGCTCTTTGCGACCAGCAGTGGGATGCTGTGTCCCTATTTGACCCCGGGTCCACACAGGAGAAGAGCTCTTAGCGTTACCCAGCACCCACCACGAGGAGGTGGCTCTTTACGGGTGCCAATTTCTGTCAAACCGCAAGTGGTTAGATTGACATAATATTAGTTGTGTCCAATGAATCACCTGGTGCATGTTAGTATTTAACATTGTACGACTTACTTGTTCCATTTTGCATCAAGTTATTCGTAGATATACAGAGAAAGAAACGCAAAAGTAGAAAAGTTGAAAATATCTGACGATGTTTTGCTGATTTCAAACGGAATGACTAACAACTATTCATTAGCAGATAAATCTTTTGTGATATGGAATTATAATTATCTAATTATAAAACCTAGCGAAATTTGAAACGATCAATCGGAAATGCCTGATAAATTGAAAAATGTATCGAATAATTCATAAAGGCTTGCTTCACATTTGGAAACGAGGCTGTAGACCCATACCCACCCGAATAATGGCAGTGACGTCAAGGCCTTGACCTATTCATGGAAGCAATTGGTAAACGTGACGTTGCAATTGGAAATCTGAAAAAGATGGGGGAGGAGAGCTCCTGACAGTTTTGGTAAGTTTGACCTGGGTGTGTGACTGAGACAAGAGTCATGGAGTCTGATTATAGACGCTTTGCTAAATGGAACAGCAGAGGCACTGTTGATGTGGTGAGAAGTGCCAGTTGAACGAATTTAGAGACTGCTCATTTCTGTGCCTTGTCATCTTTACGATTTCAAGTGTCACTCTAGTGGCTTTTTCTCAGTGAGTAGTGTACTTTGTGTTCAAATTCGATTCTAAGGATATATTGTCCTCATTTTGGAAAATGAGTTGTGACCTAGTGGCCCCATTGTGACCCCATTGATCTGGATTCGCTGGCATGCTTGCGAGGCTGCTCAAAAGAGCTGACTTCTGGAGATGTAATTTTGAATAATATTTTCGGAAGATGGCAACAGGACATAAAGGGGAAGATAACTGAAGCTGTGCTGAAGATATACTTGTGACTCTACAGACTGACATTCCCTGATCTGGGACATACCCACCTGAGACATGGGTTCGTCATGGGATATGTTGTCAAGACCTGGTTGTTTAATTTTCTCAACATGGCCAGAAACACATTGTTGGCTTTATGAAAGACTTGGTCTTGCAAAATATTGATGTTCTGCTCTCTAGCCAGTGTCACAGTGGTCTTAAACCTTGCTTGACTTGCGGAAAGCTGAGAATCATCGCACTGTAGGCAGTTTCTATCAATTTATGTAGGGGAGTTATGTAGGGGAGAATTCTAAACTCGCTTCCGTGAAATCCCATTTTTACTGAACTCGTGAAACATTTAGCATCAAACTCGCTTCCGCTCGTTTGATACCAAATCATCAACTCGTATAATAACATGGTATTACTCGGAAGGTCGTTTAGTATCCACTGTATTAAGGGCTGATGGGATTCCATCTCTAGTGCTACAGATACGTTTTTATGTTCATGTAGGGCTGGAAAATAAAATAAATACAATGAACATGCAGACTTGCTGAATTGTTTTTATCCATTAAACGACATCGACGGCATCTGGAACCTCCCGAGTCAAATCTTCAGAAATGGTAAATGCAAGCATTGTGCTCCATATTGTCATATTATCATCATTACAAAATTCATCGTCTTAGATACACAGTTTACCAATTGAAAATAGCATCCTTGGAGCCAGGAAGCATTTCTATAAAATGTTGTTCAAAAGACATTAGACAAAAGCATTGTTCTTGTATCTCTGCTTCTTCATTTCGATGATTAATTTCGAGCCTGTGATAGCATCAGTATTACATACCGTTGAAACTATCAGCTGGATTGTGTGACGTCAAGTATGATGCAGGATGATTTGAACATACCAAAGATATAGAAATTGGAAACGGTAATGTGGTAACTGCGTCAGTCATTTCATTGCTTTATGTATCATTACATACATGTTGCACTAAAGACTACCATGTATCTTTAGTTCTTCAGGGGCGGTGGGGTAGCCTAGTGGTTAAGGCGTTCGCTCGTCACGCCGAAGATCCGGGTTCGATTCCCCACATGGGCACGTTGTGTGAAGCCCATTTCTGGTGTCCCCCGCTGTGATATTGCTGGAATATTGCTAAAATCGGCGTCAAACTAAACTCACTCACTCACTCACTCTAGTTCTTCATTTCGATCTTGACAGCATCAATATCACATAACGTAACGTCGTTTCATTGCTTTATGTATCATGACATACAGCGTTACTATTCTTGCCGTCTCCATTCTAATGTCTTGGCATTCTGTCAAGAACAACTACGTCATACATACATTCTGATGCCAGTCTGATAAAACCTACCTGTATTCTTGCCAAGTGTGATCCTCTTAACAGATACTCCAAAAGCTCCAGCACTTTTTTACATATCACGGCTATTCAGGTACGGTCTTATATGCTCTTTGCACCACGATTGCAACGAGCGCCATGCCAGTGCTGCTCAGAAGTTGTTCTTAACTGCTCGAACATTAAAGCCCCCAGTAACACATTTAGAAAGTTGTATATATTGTAGACCAGTGGAAAACATGGCAAAATCTGACGTATCAGTAAAGATGCAATCTCCTCTTTTGACTTTTGAGGAAAGGCCTTTGTTGCTTTTATTGAAGACCCTTACTGGTCTGGAACTGAATTATACAAACAATGTTTGCGTCCCCAGTTGTGTTTTTTGCATAGATCAATATTCATGGAACTTTTGATATGATGAATATCCAGATATGATAATTATGTCAATGCCTGTTTTATCTGCAATCAAACAAGCCCCATATAAATAATAACTAAAGATGGTGCAAGATCTTATGTCTGAGGAGATTAATATGAATCTAAAGTATCAATGGTCAAGAAACTAATGGTATTTGAAGATCATTGCACGGCGACCTGACCTGTTCACATGGAATCTAGACTCAGCTATGAACTGTGTACCGGCCCATTCTCGTTTTCTGAACCTAAGATACGGTCTGCACCTGGATACAACATCGGTCGTATCTCTGGATGAAGGTTCCAGATGTTGTGTTCCGTCAACAGCTGGTGTACAGTTCTCCCGACGTCGACAATCAGCCTTCCATGCTGTAGATAACGTCTCCAGAGATGATGCAGTATTTTAATGACCAAACTAGGTCGGACAACATCTTCACCATTCCAGGAGGAAACATACCCATGGTGCTTAGAACGTTGTTTGAAAGCAAGCCGTTGCTTTACTTAATCATCTTTGACTGTTGAAGAGCTCCTGATACCTGAACAATGATCGCATTCACTTTACATATATTCTATGATATAATAGACAACAGTTACACTGTACTAATACAAAACATGTGTACTCTTACCTAAGATACACGATAGATACGTCGCTTTTAGCAATATTCAAGTAGTATCACGAATGGGTTTCAAACATTTACTCATGTAGGGACTCGAACCTGGGTCTTTAGCATGATGAGTAGAAACTTTAACCATTAGGATAACCTACTGTCCCCTGTAATATAATGCATGACATATATCCCGTACATTAATACACAAAGGACCCTGATATGGATTATACAATATAAGTAACATGCGTCTTATTTATGGGTTCAACTGCATCCGGCATTCGAACCCACACGTTCAGAGTCAGGCACCTAATCGCCAGCACAAAGTCACCGGTCTATCGTATTCAGCCACCGCAACTTCCACAAAAATGGAAGTCAGACAATTGGTATTCCAGACCATGGACTTTGTTCACTCCTCTGATAAGTGTATATTGGCACGTATCCAGCTATCAATACCCCTCTGTGTACTCAACCCAACAAATGTCCTAGAATCTGTACCTCACTGAGAAAGTGTAATCCCAACTATAACATGCTTCTAGCAGAGATTCTTATGAATGGGAAAAAAGGTTTGCTCGCTTCCGTGTACAATATATTTGCAATTACTTTAATAGTGACAATACACAGAAAAGTCTTGTGCTTACTGAATACTTGGCACTGGATATTCCTCTCAATATTCTCATGTAGTTATCCGCCATGTCGGTAGTTATGGTGCCACGTGTACGCACACTACTGGTGGAGCATGTGGTTCCCCGAGCTGGCATTTTGCCAAACACTTGAGTCGGGCAATATTAACGCCGTTTACCCGGCGGCGAGCCAGTCGTCTTCCTTGCTGCGCTACAGAGTTCACTTTCACAATGGAGATTATAACAGTTACGTTCTTCAGTGTCGTGTTGTTGTGTGGTGTCAAAGATGTATCTGCTTGGGCCAGGCGTACAAACTTGGCTAAACGGGTGAGACAGTTGGAAAAGGAGGTCAACGTATGGAAGTTTACAACTCTTAATACTGAGATTAAAATGATGATTGACTTTAAAAAGTTGGAGTCGTCACTAAAAGAAGAGCTGGCTGGAACATTCGTTCCTTCTTTGATCAAGCGTCTCGTCAAACAAGAAATTAGTGACATCCTGAAAGAAGGTGACATAGGGGACATTATCAGCGGGCATGTTCTGGATGAGGTTGGCAGCCTGAAAGCCAGTGTGCAAAGTACGAAGACACAGCTAAAAACAATAACACAACAATTGAAACATGTTGAACGGGAAAGAGACTCTTACAGAAAGAGTCTTGAAAAGCTACGAGGCAGATTGACCAAAGACATCCGTGCATTACAGATGCAACTAAATCAGACCAATGATGATTTTTTTGCAAAGAAACAAATCACTGGTCTTACAGAGGTGTCATTCTCAACTTCGACCACAACGTATCCTGCAACTACAACAGGTGAGAGTTTTAGTAAAGATTAGTCCCTTAACTAGCGATCTATCTTGATATTTCATATGATGTCATGGTGAACGCTGCAGATAGTGAGTGAGTGAGTTTAGTTTTACGCCGCACTCAGCAATATTGCAGCTATATGGCGGCGGTCTGTAAATAATCGAGTCTGGACCAGACAATCCAGTGATCAACAGCATGAGCATCGATCTGTGCAATTGGGAACCGATGATATGTGTCAACCAAGTCAGTGAGCCTGACCACCCGATCCCGTTAGTCGCCTCTTACGACAAGCATAGTCGCCTTTTTACAGCAAGCATGGGTTGCTGAAGACCTATTCTCCCCCGGATCTTCACGGGTCGAACGCTGCAGATTACAGATAGCATGTAATCATGACAGAGTTTACAGCTATTCATTACCAAAGACCAGTAATCATGGCATGAAATTTACAGTTAACTGACAAAGACTGGGAATACCTGTCTGCACTTAGCACAACAGACTCAGAAGAAAAGCACAGTTTGTCTTTCAACGGTATTTGTGTTGTTGTATTGAAAGTGGACAGTTATATTCTTTGAAACAAATAGTAGGAGTTTTGTGATTCAAACAATCGGTGATTTAGGGAAGTACCCGATATGCCTGTCGTATATGTTATGAAAAGTAAATCCTACCAGATGCAATTGTTGTCTATGCCATGCCATAGGTAACACAAAATATGTTGTCATTCGTTGTTTTCATCTGATAAATCCGGAGGGCAAACATGAGTCGGATAGACATAGTTCCATACAGAGTTGATACTCAGTAAGCAGTCGAGCGCCAAACGTTGCCATGCTACTAACCTGACATTTCGATCTTTACCACCACACAATGCCACGTGTTTGTACCCATGTTGTTTATCAAAGCACGTTGCCTCCAACAACAATACGGCTGTGTCAGCTACAGTTTCCGCCTCAGAAGCAGTTTTGAATTACAGTATCTGACATGTTTAATGTTTCAGAGTTTGAATTACACTGAATTAAACTGGTGCACAAACACCAAGTCAATACCCTCGTTCTTCACACTGCGTGAGAAAGAATTATGCTTCACGGATAGCCCAAAATAAACGCAACAGCAAAATGATTGGTGGGGACATCAGATGTTTTTTCCAGCCACATTTAATGAATTTAAACTAAAAGGTTCATCTAAAGAGGAATTATTTATACGTGCAGATGTTTTTGTTTGTTTATCTATGTTGTCAAGTACCGTAATAATGTGAATGACCGTACATTTCATATGAAGCCCCTTGAAAACATGTTCATCCCGTACCTAACCCTTACCCTGGAATACGCCGTTCATGTTTATATTTCTAAACAAAATAATAATTTATTCAGTTACAACATTTCAACAAAGAGGGGCATCTCAGCTGTTAACACAGTCAGTGCACAGCTTATTTTATTTACAGATTCAAACTGTATAACTGAATTTAGGAAGCGTTCCTTTTATCTCTGCATAGACACGTGGTTTCCATGAAGTTTGATCTCAACCAAATTGAACCATATATTTTTAATACCTTTGCTAGAAATAACAGATGTATTTGGAATTTATCCATTCATAATACTGAAAGGAAAACATTTGTGGAAACTGACGCCAGTAGTTATAATGCTTATGTGCAATAAATAGAAAAATATAACAAAATATTCCCTGTTTCAGCCTCGACTGATCCGAGCAAGACGGTTCCATCAACGCCAGTGACGACACAAGACTCCGATCTACACGGTAGGTGGGAGAACCCAGCAGACAGGAAGCTGAGTCCTTAATTTTTCCTGCATTTAACAGATTCTACAGATTCAAACTTTATTTACTGTCTCGATGAACAGTTACCTCAATCAAATTGAACCATATATTTTTCACGCCTCTGCTATAACAGATGTATTTGGAATTTATCCATACATAAATAGAAAGGCAAAACATTATTAAAGGCGAAACGTCTGAGGCCAGTAGATATAATGCTTATGTGCTATCTATAAATTTCTGAACAAAATATTCCCTGTTTCAGCATCGACTTACCCGAGTCAGGATCCAATCCAGGGCAAGACGGTTCCTCCAGCGCCAGTGACGACACAAGAGCCTGATCCACACGGTAGGTGGGAGAACCCAGCAGGCAGAAAGCTAAGTCCTTCGTTCTCCCTGTATTTAACAGCTGATGTATATACCCGTAGAATTCTGACTTGAGGGATTTTGACACCTGTAATATCGATCAACGTCCATGTTGTCAATCGCAGGATTTTATGAATCAGATAATTATGCCCAGGTCGCCATCATACTGCTCGAATACTGCGAAGTGTGGCGTTAAACAACAAACAAAATAATCGGACATAACCAACGTTATATGTTATTTCCCTAATAAACACAAAACAACAGTTGTACTGACATTATAAACTTGTAACGTTTAACAAACGTTAACACTCTCCACCCTTACACATTACATTGCTACAACTTGTAGCTCTTACAGAAAGATATGTATTAAACACACCACCCTTAATTCCTGACACCATGATAGAATAGTTTAGAATTGTTTCCATGATGTCCGATGGAAAGATTGTAGATGTGTGACAAAGATGTCTGATGTACACAGTTTACTTTGTGTTGCAGCGACTCCATCACAAGCAGACCGCGACCTCTACTCCGCCTGCACCGACGGTGACCTGGGAACAGTGAGATGGATCCTGGCTGCGGGCCACGTGGACATCAACACTAGAGGAGGATGGAGGCGCAGGACAGCGGTGATGGAGGCAGCACGGTGGGGACACAAAGAAGTGGTTGAGCTCCTTGTAGGTAAAGGTGCTGATGTGTCACTGCTGGACAAGTACCGTAGAAACATCCTTCACTACGCCTGTTGGAGTGGAGACGTGGAGACCGTGAAGCTGATCCTGTCACTGAACGAGGTCGACATCAACAGTAGAGGATGGAGGAGCAAGACACCGGTGATGGCGGCAGCGGGGGAGGGAAAAGGAGATGTGTTGGCGTTCCTCGTGGGTAGAGGGGCTGATGTGTCACTGGTGGACGTGGACGGAAGCAACATCCTTCTTTACGCCTGTATGGGTGGAGACATGAAGGCCGTGAAGCTGATCCTGTCGCTGAACGTGGTGGACATCAACGCCACGAACAACTACGGCCATACAGCTGCCTACATGGCGAGACGTGAGGGACATCAGCAAGTGGTGGATCTCCTGGCGTCACGTGGTGCTCACTGAATCTGTGTAGGGTTGATGCCGACAGAGACGGGGGACATGTCGCTACTGACACTGGCGTGACGTGTACGTTCATGTAGTCGTTTGTCAACGCCCATGATTCAGATGATTTCCATGTTTCCTTCTGAATATTAACAAAATAAATGGTGAGTGATTGTACATAAACATCGCCCATCTTAACATTATTCTGTGTTAATTTTCTTCTGAGAATATCGCGAGTTGTGAAACAGACAACAACAAACTGTTTGTTTACATGTCGCTGCACTCTTTGACCAAAGACCGAGCTGAGGTTCACCAGATGACGTGGCGCCATTTGTACAGTGACAGTGACGTCACACTATTGGTGACGTCACAGATATACCCTGACTTACCCGGCCGTCATCTCAGCCAGATAGGACATAGAGCGGCGCGATGCTGCCCCCTCTTGCCATGCAACACAAACAGTGTTTGTCAAATACCGTGTGGTCGGTGTCGTTTATCGTAGGTAGAACGGACATTTGCAGCTGATGACAACTGAGATTTAACCCTTTTGGTGCCACAGGGAAATGTACCCTTTCTGCAGTGACTAAACACACAGTATACAAAATCAAACTTATTACAATTATCACCCAGTTCAACCCAGCTTTATTAACCTGGGTGCCAGAAGGACAAATGTGTCCCCTCTCCCCACTTCTCGGTATCTTGAAATAACCAGTTGTTGTTTTAGAAAAGCAGAATTGCTGAAATGACTCCTGAAAATTATGTATATAAATTTTGCCATTTGTGACTCATTACGAGGCATTGTTCACCGCATTTTAAAAATGGAAATATCAGATATTTACCCTAGAACTGAATTTAAAAAATAGCATGAGTGAGTGAGTTTAGTTTTACACCGCACTCAGCAATATTCCAGCTATCTGGTGGCGGTCTGTAAATAATCGAGTCTAGACCAGACAGTCCAGTGATCAACAGCATGAGCATCGATCTGCACAAATGGGATACAATGACATGTGTCAACCGAGTGACCGAGCCTGACCATCAATTTCCGTTTGTCGCGTCTGAATTCCTCATACATTTTAAAATTAAATGACAGATGGTCTTTGTCACCAGGTCAAATAGTGTTGATGATATTAACCCCCTTCATGCCCAGTTGAATTTTCATGAAGACATTTGTATGAAGTCAGAAAAGTGAATGTTGTGTGAGAATCACCCTAGATGTAACTACGATCATAAAATTACACAGAAATGTAGAATATTAAATTTCCTTTTCGATGGTGTAAATACTATGGCGGCTTGAAAAATAGACACTGAGCACTTCGTGTGATGCGAACTTTTGTTGTGCGTTAAAAAATACTAGTAAATTTCTCCGCTGTTTATCGTTCACAAATAAAAGCACCGTGCGACGATATTTTTGTCCATCTTTACAGAATACTGTCTGACATCTGAACGACATGAGTATATATCAACTGAATATGTGTGTACATGCATTAAATATATGCAATGTTTTTCATAAATGGCACATGCATATAGTAAATGTAATGTACTACTGAAAAAAACAACACACCATTTTGGTCACGCCATGTCTTGTGTTCTTTGCAACATCGGAGAAAGACGACATTAGTATCTCGATTGATGTGTATTTCATCTGATTTCCCATAATTGTAGATTGGTCTAATTTTGTCCGTCAGAAGTAAACGCTCTTTCGACAGAACATGAAATGACTGAATTAATTCGACAGTTTGATTGTGTGTCTTAATTTCGACAATACGCGCACCTATTCAGCATCTATTCAACGTTTAAGATAACGAATATTTCAAAACAAACGAATATATATAATTTTAGGATAAGATTTTTCTTTGTTGATGATTATGTTTTTTTCTCTTCATAAGTATACAATAAAAGATGAAAAATATAGGTATGTCTGTATGAAACGATCAGAATAATGCTGTAAGTTTTGTCCAGAGGACCAAGAGAAGGTATTCATGTTTCGTAATTTGCAATAAAAATCTTGTAGAAATATAGTTACAGCGTGATGTTATATCATCACTATTATTTTTTTTCAGTGAGTGAGTGAGTTAAAATTTAACGTCACATCGGCAATGTTTCAGCCATATCGTGACGAGAACCATTTTGACATTGAAATGGAATATATGTATATTATAAAAACCTGTCGACGAAGGACAGTAAAACAACTAGAATATCACAATTACAACTAAAACTAGCGTGGAAAGCTAAAACTGATAGCACTATTTGGACAATTCAATATAAAAACAGGCTATGGATCGCCATCACCATGGGGACTAACAGTACATTTGCTTCCTGCATGGACATTATTATATTAAAAAAATAATTCCGATTTAAATTGATTATATTATAAAAAATACAAAATACAAACAACAAGAAACGTCAACAAACAACGATAGTGAATAATAAAACGTTTGTAACAGACGCCTTCCTGGCCAATCATAATTGCACCATTGTTTAGTCTGTAAAACAAGATAAATAATGTCAATAAAGAAGACAATACTTTGGAAATATGTGTGCATGTAGATTTCATTCAACAGATCACTCATTTCCTTGAATTAATATTGTCAGCTTAACTTCTTAGGTTAAATTATTAAAACCCTGTTCTTCAACCTGTTTATTTGAAATAACAACATTGTATATGTGCACATCATAGCACCTGAAGCACTCGTTGCAGTGTTGCCACTCCTTGAGTGCCGGCAAGTAGTGTTTCATCTAACACTTGTGTAAAGGTTAAAAATATTTTGCAAATATTTTTCAAACGAACAAAACCTTTTAAAGGATAACAAAACATATGGTCTATATAGTGTTTCATCTAACACTTGTGGGGGCGATGGGGTAGCCTAGTGATTAAAGCATTCGCTCGTCACGCTGAAGGCGTACCATATGGGTACAATGTGTGAAGCCCATTTCTGGTGTCCCCCGCCGTGATATTGCTGGAATATTGCTAAAAGCGGCGTAAAAACATACTCACTCTCTCACTCACGCACTCTAACACTTGTGTAAAGGTTAAAAATATTTTTAAAAAAATTTCAAAGGATAAAAAACATATGGTCTATATGCAAGTATGACAGGGAATTGAATAAGACGAAATGTCGATAGTGAAATTAGTTTCGAGGACAAATATCTGAAAGATTAGCAAAATGTACAAATTACCATACTGAAACAGTATGCAGCAGGATAGTGTGATTACGTATACTCTTACTCAACAGACCTTCACCTCAACGAAACGGCCAAATATGTACGTCATCAATGTTGATCCAAGACATCAATACCGACGACAGGTTTTTGACAAAATGGCGGGTTCGCTGACATCGGTAGGCAGAACTTGAGAGGGACCTTCCCTTGATTCAGAGAACGTTTGCACATAAATATGCGATGTACGTAATCAGAAACAAACTGACTGTTGTTTGTTCTGGGATGCATTTTATTGTAGCCAATAGAAGCTGTCAGAAATACCGATAATATAAGTTGTATGCTTCTCCTTCGGGTAATACGGTCTGATGTACGCCTCTTTGTAGCAGTGTCAGCCGAGCTGGTAGGAGAGGGACAACACTGCTACAAAGAGGCGTACATCAGACCGTATTACCCGAGGGAGAAGCATACAACGTGTTTATCTTACAGTCATGTTAAGTGTACAAAATATCATTATATTTTATTTGGAAGATCGCTACTGGCTATATGACATGTAAAACAAAATGGCGTCTGCCTCCCGACAGGATTTATAAAATCAGTGAAACATATTCTGACATATTAAAACTGCTATAAAAATGGTTAATCATGCAGTGCAAACGATTTAATGTATAACATAGTTTAACAAAGCAGTGAAAGTCGGTGAAATAAATGTCTACATAGTATACTCAAAAACAGCTAATCGAACGGTTTCCGAACAACGGGCACTGCATGCGTCATATTATGATGTCATACGATTGTTATCGATACAGCTTCTCGACGGAGATTTTGGCGGTTACCGTGGCAGCGGGTAATATTTTTCCAGTTGCCATCCCGGGAGGGGTGACACGGAAACTTGTTGAAGCGTCATTGACCAATGAAATTTAAAGGGGCACTGATCCAGGGCAATTTCCGTGGATTGGTTGGTGCTGTTATTATTGTTTTTCTCACGTGAGTACTCGGATGATATTCCATAATTCTTTACTGGTTCGTGACCTCTGGTGAGCCACACGCATGCGCAATTCATAGTAAAAGTATAAATTGATCAACAAAGAGGAAATCTTGTTTACTCGATTATATTTCCATCTTCATTAATTTGATAACAAATGAAAACATTTTGAAGTTTAACCATCTGCCAGTGGTAAAAAAAATAGGACTTCTATTTTGTCTTGGAGCTGGCAAAGAATCCTTCCCCATGTCATGTGTCGTGAAACAGTCTAATATGCGAAAAAGTGATCTATCGTTTCAGGTTTTTCACATTGGTGTATAGTCTCATTGGTCACCCAAATAGCACACCTGGCAAGTAATTGCATGATGTCCGCCATTCTTTAACAAAGTAATTTAGATAGCCAATAATGAGCAATCAATCGATGTATTGGCGGTTAATCCTTTGAAGGAAGGACGTTGTTTATACACAGGCACTTTACGACAGGGTGAATTCAGAAAAGATTAGTAAATCTACATACATAAACAATACGTTTTGACAAATACACTGTGCAAGATAAAAGCAGTTAATCAATCAGCGTGTTATCGGTTAATTCTTTGATCAATGTTTGTTTTCGTAACTCAGCTGATAATTTATAATGTTGAGTATTTACTCCAGACACGAGAAATGCCAAATGGGAACCTTTGTCGGGTAATCTGAGTGGTGTTGCCACTAATTATACCTGTTATAAATTCATTAACTGACCATCAAGTGAATGATGACAAATAACATGTGAAGGTTTACCACCAAACACGCGTTACATCAAGTGAGTAGTAATACGTTATGGAGTCAAGGCATATTACTGCCATGTAAATGTTGGCGTGTACATCCGAAGTCCACTTCGGTGTTCCAAATGCCAGAAATACGGACACGGTGTGAATACTTGCACATTGGAGAAAACACACATGTAGCAGAAGATTGTAAAATCCGAAAGCTAAAGTGTCAAAACAATATTTCCTACCTTGAGACCAAAAAGCTATTCAACTGACTGACTGACTGAGTTTGGTTTTACGCCGCTTTTAGCAA